TTTTAAGCCCCTATATTTGTAATATTTATGCCTATATTTAGTCTATACACCTATAGGCACTCACATCATGAAAGAAGCAAAAATATAAAAAATAAAAGTTTGTAAAGATCACATAATGTTACCACTTTTCTACCATGCTCTATCTTGGTGAATTCTATAAAGTGTTCTATTGGATTCTTTATAATAATAATGGTATTTCTTAATTAGTTTAAAATATCTTGCGTGTAATGCAAAAAGTTATTTTTTTCTACATAAACCCACATTTCAGATTTCTACCTTTTTTTTTAAACAAAAATTTACGAAGATTAATCAACAATTTTCTTAGAAGAAATAACGCACAATTAAAATGGGCCTATACCAACTTTCATAAAACGCGTAGTCAAAAAAAGCATGCTTGGAAACTGTGTGTAATTATTTTCTTATTACTCCTTTAATTATTATTAATTATATTAAAAAATTGTTTTACTATGTAATAAGCAATTAACGGGGGAATACGTAAGAGGTGAAATAAAATTATTGTCAGTTCCTTGTGGTCATGCCTCAATATCTAGGTATAGACTGCCAGCGTAACTACTAAACATGTAACAGATATCTAATTAACCAAAAAAGAGGTTTCTCTTAATTTTTTTCCCCTTAAAGAAGGGTCAAAAACGCAGTATAAGAGATACGCGTTTATTCGGCGGTCCCAAGTTTTAGCATGTGTTGCATATACCTCTCTACCTTTTATCTTGAGAGCGAAATACATACGCTAGAACTCCATGAAGCTTTGATAACAGCGACGTAGGCTTTATCGTCAGTATTTAAAAATTCTTTTCAGGCAACTGCGTAAGTTGGGCTCCCAGTGGAAAACACTGTGCCTTTTGAGTGTTTACGTTTGTTAGCTACCATTGTGGTTTTTGTTTAATGTTGTATTTACGCTAGCTGGCTCTACGGGTGACATAAATGCCATGCTTTACCTGAGACCCTTGCGATGATAAGGATTTAATCTTACTTGTCTTGAATTTTTCTTTCTACTTTGGAAGAATAATCGAATTATTATTTCTAGAGCGGTAGTTCGTTTTGTTCTACCAAAGCAGAACTTTTTCATTATTTATAGCATAGTTAAAATCTAGATTCTGCTATTATTTTAAGTACTCAAGTGCTTAACTTCTTTAGCATCATCGTATAGTAATCTAGTTCTTCTTTAGGAGCATTTAGGAGTCGTCTATTGATCTGGACAGTGATCCCTAGCTTTATTCAAGTTCTATGAGGTAGATAATTCTTTAGATTTTTCTTTTTCCTTCTAAATTGATAGCTACCTCTAATAGATTTATTTGCATATTCGATATAAGATACTTACAAGTTTAAAACTATTTGTTCTCTTGGTACTTTGGTACTTCAGGAGCTTTTCTGTGAGGTTCGTCCCTCATGAGCTCGTTACAAACTGGTTGGTTCTATGAGCGTTCTACTAAATAGCTGTGCAAAGGTTAAAACAAGATCTGACATTGGTTCTTTCTGCTAATCTAACTAACTGTAGGTTGGTTGACCTAAAAGTAAGAACAAAGGGAGCTAAGATGGCTTGCTTAACGAATAGATTAAGCTCTTGTTAAAATAAAATGAAAACACAATCAATTTAATGGCTATCGTTCTAGCAATCTTTCTGAAACTTTAAAGTCTTTGTGGCGCCTCTAAAGCAACGTGCAAATCTGTAACTTAAAAACTAATGAAAAGTGAAAATTATAGGTTTAAGTGAATTACAATAAGTAACGAAATTAACGCTATACTGGGACCCGGCGCCTTTTGTGCAGTATGCTTCTAATTTGGCCAAATAAAGAACTTTAAAACGAACTATAAGGTAGAAATCAGTCTTGGTTAAAACACCTACAACTAAAATAATATGTAGTAAACATGAGTAATTAGGATTTATAAAGGTAACTCATAGTGATGCAAATTTACTCCAATTAGCTAACTTATCTCATACATTAAAATTCTTCATTAGCCTTGGTGCTTGCCTAAACCAAAATTAGCAAATAAAGTAGCATTCAAATTAACTTATTTAAATAACTTATCGGTAAAAGCATTGGGTTGAAAACTCGAAGGATGTACTTCAATTCTACATTTAAACATAATCAAGGTGCTAAAGTATCCTACTAGATTAAAAATAACTTAATATCACTGGTTATAAACCCTTTTTGACCTTTAAAGGCGTCCTTTTAGTAATTCTTCTGTTGGCTAAAGTCTACTAAAGTTAGCTGAAGCTTATGTGTTATTTGGTTGACAAAAGTTAATGAAAGTTGACTAAAGTTAACATAAGCATAGGCAATTTTTAAAATCCTTTACAAAATGTTACATAAACCCACAGAAAGTATAAGATAAAAGAGCCTTTAAAAAATATAATCAACTATAATCTAACATAAAACCAGTAATAAACACACAAAGGGATAACAACTCTTTCACCTTATTATATTTATATGGTTATAAACACTTGTTTTTAGATATTTCATGGTTTTTAGCCCCTTTTAGTGCCTTATATGCATAAACTTGTCGAAATGCTTCGCTTTCTATAGATTGAAGCACTGTTTTGGCTTTTCGAAAGATTCTACATGATTTAGTGTCATTTCTACAATCATTAATCTAAGTGATTAGCTCGTTTAAAGAAATGCTTTTTAGTACCTTTATCTCACCCTTTTTGCACGAGACGCGCGAGGCATCCCAAACTTGTCTGTAACCACAGCAGGTAAGGCCTTGGTGGATTATAACTGAATCATCTTGGCTACTGCATAGGCCGGTCTCCTTATGGTAGAACTTAGTCAAGCGATTTGTCTTGGCTGGGGTGGTTGGCTTGAATCTTGTAAATCTTCAAGTATCGTACATTCTTCATGCAAGCGAGGATTGCTTTTGGTCACTAGCTGCATGTCGTATAGCGACCAAACAACATAGGCCCCTTTCTAAACGAGCCTGCTGTGCTTGTTATTCCTGATGTTCTTCAGATAATTGGAAACAACGAATGAAGACTACAGAGTGCCACCCAAAGAAGGACTAACGTGTGTGTGTAAATTAAATAAAAATCGGGTCTTGTTTAGCGACCCGCTACGGTAACGTAGCCTTAGGTTGGTGACGAAGAACTAGTACTCAAAAATCAAGGACCCTTTGCCAAACGTTCATTGTGTTATAGTTGCTCTGCTCGATTTATAGTTGAAGCTATCACGTTGCTTTGGTGTGCCGTGGGTTTGAAGCGTGTTGCTCTTAAAATTGGTTAAAACGGCCAAGCGAATAGGTTCTCGAAGCAGGTTCTAATTATCTGTATCAGTATGCATAGACCGAGCTAATATCGAAACTAGAACAATTGGGGGCGTGCCTACTGATGAATCTATTTGGCTTATTAACTTTATCGTCTTGGGCGAAGTATCCTTACGTTGCCTTTCAAAGCAGTCCTTCGTGATTTACCTAGAAAAAAAAGATTTGCTGAATTCAAGCGGGATACTATTAACAGGTTGAGGAAGGTGGGTAAGTCATATAAGTACTTCGGCCTCCAGCTACTAACTGCGTGTGAAAGCTTTTACTTGAACAGACTAGTATGATGAATAACAGAATAGCTAGCCCGCGTCCATGGACCGCCGGTGGGGTTAAACTAACAACCTAATTAGCTCCTCACTTGGTGTATAATGATGCTGGTACTATAGGTATAGTATTTTACTAGTACTGTTATAAAATAGTGCTATTAGCTGGTATAAGCCTAGGGATGACCGCGTTGAGCCCAAAGAGAGGATTACTCATCGTTCTAGGTTACTTCCTTCAAGAGGCCCAACAAGATCGGCCCTATGTATGAGCGTCTAACGCTGACGTTATCCCACGCGGCTTCCAGTAGTAGGGATATCGAAGGCTGACAACAGGGTACCATCCATAGATGAGAAAGCTTATGAAGGTGGGCTCCTCTAACTTTGCTTCATGTCACCCTCGACTATCGAGAGGCTTTCTTCCTTGATCTTTACAATCTTGACACCTTGATTTGGGTACCTATTTGAGGTTAGTTCTGTGCTAAGGTTTGTACGTTACTTCGAAGAGATTTAGATTGTGTAAATTACGTATGAATGATATGCTCTTACACTGGGTAAAAGCTTGGTGGCAGCAAAAGGTTATGGGGAGGTGTTAACTGCCCGTCTCGGGTTTACTTGGACTGGCCCCATCAGAGTTAGAGAGTCGTGTAATGTTAGACCTGACTGGTGACTTTCATTATGTCAATTCTTATTTCTTGACGATTCTTAGAGGGAAGCACACAGATGCGGTTGAGTATTTGTGAAACATTGGAGAGACTGGCTAAGTTCCGTCATACACTACTTCACTTAGCAAATGCGACTAAAAGCTATCGAGTAAAGAACAGTACATTAGTGACGTTTAATAGCACTACGCTCTCTTCCGGAAGCGCTAGTATGATCCGGTCAAAATCGTGCTGATGCTGGGATAGTGCTGGTATTAAAGATTGCAATGGTTTCTATAAATATGTTATAAAAAGTTTAGCATATAATATGTATTACTTGATTTGCTCGAAAAAGTATTCTTTTTTGGGTAACCTTTAAATGATACTGGAAAACGTGTCTGTTAAATATTTCTATGTTTATTAATAGTATTAGATCTCTTGAAATGAGGACACATTTTACGTTCAGCAAATTTTTACTTTTTTTCTCTTAAAAAAACGTTCAACGGTGTTTGAATAAAATGATATATCAATTAGGCAAATATCGGAAAAACATATGTTTTATTATGAGGAAGAGTTGGTGTTCTTTAGAGGGGAGCATTTAAATTTATCAAAAAGAGAAATAGTTTCAATTTTTTCTTCGTGAGCGCAGTTTTCATCAAGTAAGTAGCGGATGGATGGATTGAAAACCAACGAGCAACAATGAAATGTTTCCGTGAGATTTATGAATCTATATATTTTTTTAATTTATTTAAAGCAAATAAAACATGGTATACTTACAAATTCTCATAAGAAAAAAGAGTATCGAAAGCGTCAGGTTTAATCTCATTGATGGGATTGTTTCGTAGAGATCTAAAAGTAACGTTACACGCCGTCGAAGTAACTCTAAAAAATCCCGTGATCACCCACGTGTTACACATGTTGGACTATGATACCACATGACTTCACCGCGTGTTCGTCCCCAACATAACACGTGGCAGGAACACGTGCCACTACACACAAGTTATTTTACTTAAAAGGTAGAACACAACACACCGAACTGAACCTCCTCCCCTTTTTTTGATTCGTTTACAAAAAAGGCAATTTATATAAATACTTCAATCCTCATATAGTTTGTTGAAAAAGAATTACTTTTACAATTTTAGTAGCGAAACTTACAAGGTTGTCACTTCTGTTAGTTCATAGAATGCTCGATATGGGATTACTTTTATTGAGTTATTATCCATATAGCTTTAAAAAGAATTGTGTAGCGAAAAAAATGAGTTCAATATTTGTTGCAGATATACATATAATAATTGTCTCAATCAATATACACAATAGAATATGCAAGTTCTAAATAAATTTTTTTTTAAGACTTGATATTATTATAGAAATATTATTAAAGATATAATATGAGGACTTCATAAGCTCTTTGTTTTTTTACTTACAGCTCTTCTAAAACGCGCAGAACCGAAAATGCGTACTCCTTAAGTAAGTGGATGCTATTCGCAGTAAGATCCCTATAACCAGCAGTGTGTAATTTATTATTTAAAATTTACTAAGATAGTAGAGAAGCTATTTATAATTTATCTATAAATTAACAAACATTATTCTACGCTAACTTACAAGTATTTAAGGCCCCACAAATCGGAAAACAAAGTGCTTCCGATAGAATAAATGCTATTGTTATTAAGATGTCTGGAAAAAGATTATGATTAGTGGCTTTCTTACTTGCCTGAGTTACTTTATTATTCCACCGTATATACTTGAATACCTTATTTTTTTTAATTTTACTTTTAAAATATTTATTATAGTTAGTGATGGTAATAAGTTGAATAAAAGTAACTATATGGAAGCAATATTTATTGGGGTACAGGAACACAACTTTTCCTTTTTTCATTATTGGTGAAAAAAAACTTTTGGTAAGTTATATATGGAAAAACATACAATTCCGTTAAACTGTGAAGGCCCTGCAACATTTCCTTTGTTATTAAAGTTAGTCCATTCTGTGCTAAATTTCTTTCAAAAAAAATACCAATGTAATATGTTTACATATCTAAATATGAACTCACAAAATTAATAATTCATGGAGTTCAGAAAAAGAAGCGTCTTCTATATATGTGATGCTATTATGTTTAAGATTTCTGTAGGAAAACTGTTAATCCAAAGGCAAAACTGTTTTTTAAACATATAATATATACTATAAATTTAGTGACGGCACAAATTTTTTTTTTTTTTAAAAAAAAAAAATTTAAGTTAAAACGTACAATCTGGTCAAGTAAGAAAGACCTTTGAACGACTCATTTTTTATTAGGGCGAGTCGGTTGCGAGAAAGATCTCTTTTTTTTTTAACAAAAAGTATCTATAAAATACTATTTTACAGCTTCAGTATTTTATACAACTAACAATTGCTTCAAGTTTTTCAATTTGGAAAAAACTGAGTCTTCGATAGTCACGATGCTATTACTTTGAAGGAATCTATTATTAATTTCAACGGATAAATAGTATTTGGGGATTTTTTATTTATATGTTTGCTATAGACAGTATCTCCAATACTTTCTACTTATGCTAAAGATAGTAAATGGCGTGCCATCTTACAAACTGGTCAGGCGGCCGAGTTGCTGAAATATTTGCTTTTCCAATAAACCAAGTTTGTTACCAGACAAGTCTCTTTAGGCAAGCACATAACACTCAAGTTTCCTCATAATTGAAACACATCACTTACAATTCTTTTAAAGCACTCAAATTAATAAATAAAGAGTTTTCAAGGGAGTCAATGCCGTTGTAACCAAGAATTCTATTTATATTTACCCTCGACGTAAACATAAAGTAACGCTAAACAAATAGTTACAATTCTTCCAAGCTAGTCGTCTGGGAAAAGGTGTGGTTTCCTATAGAATCAATCGAATTTTGCAATAAATTCCTGTTCAATTTTGATGTCAACCGACCTTGCTTCACTTATAAAATAATAATTTCAAAGGATACACGTACAAATAAGTGAGGTGAAAAAGATTTTTTAAGTCTTCTTTTGTGACTCTTTGAAGTTGGTTATGAGATAAATCTCTTTATATACATGAAGTTAAAAACTTATAAACCAAAAGTAGTCAATGAAGAAAAAATAAACGTACAAACTTTTTAATAATCGTAAGTAGGAAAATGAACCATCTTCTATCGTGCTAATTAAGTTATTAGCCAAATTTCTATGATAACGCAGCCGATAAGCGTAGTTGCAAGCAAAACTCAAAAGCAAACTCTACACGATTACTAACATTCTATACTTACAAGGAGGTCAAACTCGCTAAACCTAGCAGAGTTTCTCTTTTGATAAAACTTATTCCGTTTCCAGCCAACTCCCTTGTGGTGCATATAAATTAAAACTTTAATCATATATTGTTTCTTGCATGACTTACAAGCTTTCTAAGGAACAATGATTAGAATATACTTGCTTATCGACGATGTTGTACTCACTGAGATTTCTATTATTTTTACTATTCCAACTAATATCAAGTATGTTCCCGCTGTACGTTATTCTATAATTAATTTTATCATAAACAGTTACCAAGTAAGTATCACTATTAGCAAGCCAATCGACCGTACACGCCAATAGCAATGTTATACATTTTAAAACTCACTAAAAGCAAATTTTTACCCTTCCAGAGATCCATCGTAAAAAGAAAGTTCACTGAGAAAATCGTTTCTATTATCTACTTTTTATTAAAACCGTAACGCATTACGACCTGCAATATAAGCTTTCCTGGTCAAAAAATGTTCCGTTCGTAGAGTTGATACTGTTTTCTAAGTTCCTTTTGATAACAAAACGATAGAGAAACAGATAAAGGCCAGCTGGAGACTAACAACGAACAAAAACTGCAAGGTAGTGAGATGGAAGAGAAATTCCTTCTCGATAGCGATAACGCTGTTGTTTTGGAGATCGCTGATTGCATTATTATTAGAAAATAAACTTTATACACCTTTTTAATAGCGCTTTTAACGTACAGATATTTTAAATTTGGCAGATTTTGGAACATGTCTTTAGTAATGGCTGTTATCCTGTTAGTGCCGAGCGCTCTTTTCATGCATTAATAATAAACTTCTTAACATAAATGCTAATTTTTTTTTTTAGACACACAAATGAGTAATTCCTTTCACGCCTTGGAACAATTCTTTACTAAGAGCAGTTAGTTGGTTTCCTGCTAAACTCCTACAAGAGTTTTTCAAGCTATTTATAGTACGAACATATAAGTAGAGAATATACAAATATTTCAGAGAATGTAGATGGGTAAACGCAGAATCCTCAATCGAGCAAATGCGATTATTACTGAGAATACTGTAATATTTTAAAGAGATCAACTCTCTTTTTTTTATGAGCTCTTAAAAAAATATTCAGCCTACAGCGTTGTTAACTTAACGAGTCCAGCAAACATTGACTGGTCTATAAAGGTAAGGCGGTTGTTTTCTAAATCCCTTTAAAAAAAATTTAAATGTAATTTTTATGCAATAATAAACAGTTGAAAAAAATTTACAAAGTCTCTAAAAGAGAAAGACTAGTAAATGTTGAAGTTTCGATGAAGTTGATAATATTATTCCAGAGAGTCCTGAAACAATTTAGAAATTGAAGGAAAAATAAAAAAAGGTAATTAAAAAAATTATACTATAATACATTAAAAAGCAAATAATATTGCAAAGTAGATTAATAAATTATAAAAGTTAGTGATTGTCAGAACAGCTTTATGGATTCTCCCTGCGAAGAAAAATCGCAATCTTAAAAATTTAAAAAAAAATAATTTACAAGAAACTGAGATTGAGAAGATCCTTCACTGTTTCCTTTTGAATTGTTGTAAGAAAATTATCAGCCAAATTTCTTTGCACCGAAAAAAAAATTCCGCTCAAAAAGATTTAAATAATTTCTTTTAAAAAAGTTATCAACTTACAAACTCTTTAGTGCAGTTAAGCCAGAAAAGGCATCAGCTTCTATAATAGAAATTCTATTTCTCTTTAAACTTCTACAGTAAAAGTAAAGTTGAATCAAAGTTTTTTCTTTTTCATATAAAAAACTTCAGCTATAAAAATAATATATAAAAAAAGCCAAAAGTAACGAATTTTGTGATTATAAAAAACTTGGGAGTAAGTAATTACGTACAAGTAAGTTAGTTTTTGGAGATCACGCAACGAATTATTTTGTAGAATCGTTAGCTGAAGACCAGGTAAATACCTGGAGACATGTAAAAAATCATTTATCAAAAAACATTTACCAAACAAAAATTTTCTCGAATTTATAAAACACTTACAAAATTTCCAAATTCTCTAATTCACAAAACGAATCTTCTTCAATAGAACTGATATTTCCCCTGTAAAGGCCTCTACAGTAATATTGAATTACAAAAAATATATATGAGGACCGCTTTAGTTATACTTACAAATAAGTTAATTGGTGCAAGCCTTTGAAGATGCCTCGCTTAATAAAAGGAAGCTGGTTATCGTAAAGACTCCTTTTGAAAATTGTTTAAACATATAAAAAATATTTAATAAAGTTATTTCATAAGGCTTCAAACTACTGTTTAGTGATTAAATAGTTATTATAATTATTAGAAGAAAAAATTAAAATATAAAAATTTTTTACTAAAAAAATGAGGTTGTAGTAATTGTTATGTATAAAGTTTTACATAAGAGAAAAATTATTTAAAAATACAAGGAAAGTTAAAATGTAGAAAGTAAGTAACGTAAATAAAAAAAACTTGGTGTTAAAAAGGGGAAACTAACTCTAAAAAAAAAAGGGGCTTTTTTAAATAATTTAGTTAATATTTATAAACTGTTATTTTTTCATAATAATAACATAACAATTGTTTCTATAAAAATTATAAATTTATTATTATTTATAAAATTTAACAATAAATAATAATAATAATGAAAAATTAAAAGAAATAACAAGAACAAAAAAGTTTAAAGTTGCTTATAGATGAATTTTGATGACATAAAATTTAAAAAATATATAACAGATCACGTAAAGCGAGCTGCTCGGAAAATGACTCGAGATCGATAGTAGTTAACATGTTTGCGCCGATCTCCCTGAAAAAACATGCCAGTCAATAAAATGAACGTGAAACGTGACACTGTGCACGTAGATATACAAGCTGGTTATCTTGGCCGCCCCCAAAAGCAGCTCTTTTTGAATAAAGCAAAGTTGGTTACGGCTTAAATCTCTTCAAGTTTATGAAAGCATTAAAAAAATCTTTCATTATCATAGATTATTTATATCTCACAAATATATTAAGTTCTTTAAATCGTAAAATGCTGAATCTTCTATAAAGTTAATGCTGTTGGTTTCAAGATTTCTATATATATATGCGTTATCTTTTTTTTACTGAAATATGTGCCAATCTTACAGTGAAGTCAGCCTGTCAAGCCCTTTAAAAGAATTTTTTTTAATAAAGGTAAGTCGGTTTGCAGATAAATCTCTAAATAAAAAAAATATTATAATTAAAATCGTGGTACAAAAGTTATTATAGCTATCTATAAATACGTTTTTTTAATGCACTTACAAACTTTCTAAGGACTGAAGATCGGAAAACGCATAATCTTCAATACGGTCGATTCCATTTTTCCAAAGAGTCCTACATTTGTTGGCCAGAAAAAAGATACTTAATAGAACGCGAGTTTAATAATTTTATGAACGAGAACGTACAAACTAGATAAATTGTAGAGACCTTGAAACGCTTCTTTTTTTATAATGGTCAGTAGATTCCTAGCTAAGTTTCTTAATAATAAAAAAAAGTTGCTAGTTTTACGTGCAACTTTAATATAATTATAAGAGCATCATATTAAAAGCTTATAAAACTCCTGACGAGTTACGTACAAACTGTTTAAAGCTTTTAAATTTGCGAAGGAAGAGTCTTGAATAAAACGAATGCGATTTTGATACAAATTTCTAAATTTAATTATAATAGTAATTGGTTAGCTTTTACTATATTTTAGATCCACTTTAAAATTCAATAGTTTCGACTGGAAACAAAAAAAGGCTTTTTTAACGCCTTTACTTCATATTAATGCTAATTAATATAATAATTTATCGATTAGCCAACTATTAGTTGTTATAAATAAAATTCTTATTACTTAACCGTACGAACTAATAACTAACATTACCGACATTAATTTAATTATGATTACTTTTTTTATCATTATTAGTGAGCTAAAAAAAAATTTATTTTTACATACTTAATTTGGTATATTACCAGTACCCCTTTTAATAAAAATGCTTAGAGCAGTATTTGTACTTATTTGTAAGAATAAGTTAATTTAATGGGTATGTCCGGTGTAATCTTTTTAGAAATTAACATTACTACTTTGTAAAATGTTTAATACTCCGCTTACAATGTTTCTAAAGCGCAATGCGAGGAAAAGGTATTTTTTTCAACCTTTCTAATATCATTGTAGCTGAGATCTCTGTTATATGCAATTTTAAAGAGTGAAAAACTGGAATATAAACTTTGTCTTCGACGTTTATAGTTATAGTCGAACTTGTGGCAACGACAAAAATCAACTACCCAAAATATCGTATAAATAAATACTTACACAAATGTTAAGTGGAGAGGAAAATTGTCTTCTTTAAAAGTTTTGTAGCCGCAATGTCTCAAATCTCTTTACAAAATAACAAAGTACAAGTTATTAGGTTTCAAAATGTTAATAATAACTAAAGAATTGGCCAGTAAGATTAAAAAAAAAATAGCTCTCTACTCGACCTTAATTCTCTACATTTAAATTCAGTAAAGTTTGGTAAATATAAGGAGTATTTTTCATTTAAACTTATAACAACTATTTAGAAAGTAAACGTTAATAATCTAAATTTTTTTTATAAGGTAAACGATATAAGAGTTGTTAGTTTTTGGGCTATATTAAGGGAGTTACAAGTGTAGAGTTTCCACAGAGCCAATACAGTGAGTTAATAAATTTTTCGCAAGAAGAATTGGAATTGAGAGCGCTGCAAAAACTTTACCCATTTAATTGTATTAACTTAAAATAAAAATTTCACCCCCTTCCTTAAAGTCTTTTATATACTCACGTTAAAATCATTACTAAATATTTTAACGCGGTAACTAAAACAAGATTATCCATATTATTTTAAACAGTGAATAATGTTTATTAGAAATAAACTTTAAGTGAAATTCTCGGCAAGTTATAAATTTGTAAAATATCTGGCATTCTATAATTTTACCGCAAGTTTATATATATTAGTAAATGAGTTTTAAATTATGAGAAAAAAAATAATTTTTTTGGTTATTAGGTTTTAGTGACTAATATTCCAAATTAATTTGAATATTGGTAAAACTACCTTTAGCTTTGTGTCAGTTAATACATAAAATTACTTATTAGGGAAGAAAACATAGTTATTGATCAGATAAAAGCTGATCAAACAAAAAACCAAAATTTTTGGTTACAAAGTGCTGAAGCTGAAACAATTTTATTAAGGCACAGTTTGCAAATATAGCTTACCTCCAGCACTATTTTTTCTAGAATAAAGTTTACATATAATTTTGCATTGAAAGTAAAGTATATGAGTGCAAGCAAATCTGAGGAAGTGCGTTAAAATGACTTATTTATATTATAAAAGTATTTAATTCCTTATATATTAATAAAACATAAATCTGTAAATTTTTTTTAACTGAAGCTTAATAATTAATTTCATCGAAGGTATTATATCCATTTAAAATAATAGCCACAACTGGTCAAAGTTTATAGTAAATAAGTTTAATTAATCGATCTATCTTCAAATAAGCATGTTTCATAAGATAAAGCATTCGGGATAATTGTTCATATTTACTTTTAAAAAAAACATAAACAATTTTTTTGATATTGCTATTAAGCAGTGGTATTATTTATATCAGTCATTAATGCAACAAGTATTATAGATGACGTCTACAAAACTCGGTAGTTTTACTTCTTTGTCCCACTTAGCGCACTTAATTAGTTGTTTTTAACCATACTTTTTCTTAAAAAATAACTAGTATTTATTAAAACTTTCGATCACATTTTCGAAAGGGTTAATTTGAGTATTAACTAAAACTCCGGTATTTTCTCGTTTCAGTTTTTTGTTAAAGCACCATATCTTTTTATTATAAACCCTCATTTATCTATTAAAAAGTCTATACTTTGTAAATTTTCACTCAGTTCTCTTCTACGAATACCGTTTAACGCTTACCTAAAAATCCCGTAAGCAAATTTTTGATTTTAGTTAAGTTAATATTTGCATTTTGGATTATTTGATTTTTAGTTTATTTTACCTCTACTATAGTTTGGCAAATGTTAAATTTTAGGGGCGGCAAGTGGAATATTTCTCTACAGTAAGAAGCTCGAAAATAAACCTGAGGCAAAAGGGTTAATCACTTTTGAAAATAAACTTTAAACGAATTGATCTTGAGACAAGGGTGGTCTTTCGTATATTACCGTAAAAATCGACTGAAAGATGTTAAGCTAACTGACAAAATGGTAATGAGCCTCCCTGGCGCGTTAAAAAAGAGATACACTTTGGTATAATAGAAGGAATGGGAGTGATTGTGTCTACTACTAAAAAAAAACCTTGAAGTGTAACACCTTAATGCGCAAGAATCAAAGATTGTCATGTTTAACCCTAGACAAGCTCGGGTTTTTCATTAAAATGCTATTAATTAAAAATACTACTCCCAGTTTACGAGCACTCAAATGTTAAGTAGTTGCTAACAACCATAGAATAAATAAAAAGAAAAAATAAAGTATTAGTAGAACAGCCACTTTATTGCACAGTTTCTCACTATTAATATCTTTAAAGGTGAAAATTTTTTTCCATGCTTATATGAATTGATTTTTTTTTCCAGATTAATTTTGTTTTAAAAAAGTGATAATAGCTTAAGCTTATTTTTTGTGTTTTGTTAGTTGTTGATTTCATGGCTGGTAGTTTCGAGCGCTATTATATCATAGATAAATTAAAAAAAGTAAAATATAGGAAAGTAGAAGGAGAAAAAGATACTGCGGTGATTTATTTGACAATCTTTAACTTTCCCGAGCGAAGAACTTGAACTCTTATTAAATTACATCGCGCTACACCTAACAAATTAATTTCTCGAGTATGTCTTTCTAAGGTTTTTTACGCTGCTCATATGCGCGTATACCATTAGCATGTTACTAGTATAATTAACTCTTTCACATTAAATATAAGCAACCTTTACATCAAACTTTTAATAAAGAGCTCATTAATCTATACCCGGCATTAGAGCTTATTTAACTGGAATGCACACAGTTAACCCTTCCCCTTTCTCTCTTCTAGATGAAACTATTCCAACTAGTAAAAACAATATTTTGCGATGGCTTGTGTATTAGTTGCTCTCTGTAGATCCTATTATTTAAAAATTTGCAAGCTCCTAATATTTTAAATATATTCTCGCCGGAAGTATTAGTACTTTGATAACTCGTCTTCAATTGGTAACATCCAGGGGCTAGGAATGGTTCTACTAAAATATATCCAACATCCCTACTAGCTGCCACCTTCCCAAATCGGTTTCTACCTTTTGATTTTACGTAAGTATTTTTTAGAAATTCTTTTCTAATTTTATGTCTTCTTAATTAAACAGTATATCCGTTAAGCTTGTTTTACTTATCCTATTTTTTTTTGTCTCAGTTAAATTTTACGCTGCATATTACAACTTTTAAAATTCCTTTTCCAAAATTTCCAACCATCTAGCAGGGCCTTACCACTTTCATCTTAAGCTCCGCTTTTTGGAAATTCGATATACACAGTAATTGTCTACAGTAACATCATATTTCTTGTTTAACAAATCCACTTATCGCTTTGCTTTTCATAACACTTTTAATTTGCCGTTATGTGTTTCTCCCTCCTCTTTTTTGATTTCCTGATCTTATTGACAGATATCACCACGTTTGTAAAGATCTTCAAAGTTATCATTACCCCCGTTTGACAGTGACACCCAACTCAGGAATTCTGTTATGTTTGGAAATGTATTCAACTACTAAAATAGTTCATGCTATTTTACTTTCGCAACTAGAATTTAGC